TAGTTAATGGTTCAGGTTTATCCTTTTATAACAACCAATAGATATCAGAAGGCTTGCACCAGACTTTAAGCCTTCATAAGTGGCCAGCAAATACTCCTAACAGTGAAATCATGACTCTAAAATATACTATAAAGAGCCCTAAGAAAGGGGCAACAAGTTACACTTGATTCAATTTTTTTCAATAAAAGATTCTTGCCTCCCCAGCCTGTTCTTTCTTGCTTCTCTTTTTCTGAGACATAGAACTGCAAGAAACATGGCCATTATTTTCCTTCTAATTGTCCATCCTCATTGTACAAATAAACATTCATTATCACATTCATAACATAGAATAAAAAATAGAGAAAATGGTTTTCTCTAGATGCCTATTGCATAAAATAACGAAAGCCTCCACTAGCCAGGTGTGTGTGTGTGTGTGTGTGTGTGTGTGTGTGTGTGTAGTCTATTTCTGCACGTCATGCATTATGCACCTGATTATTTGTAAAAGTGAAGTTAGTTAAGCAACTGACGTGGGAGATCTATGCTGTGTTAGGTAACAGAGACAGCATAATGACATTTAGAACCCTACTCAGAAGAAATGAATATATGTGAGGAAAAGGAGAGTGAAGATAGAGATTTAAAAATCAACAAGTTCAGATGTAGATGGTGGTAATGAGGAAGCCTTCTGGAAAGATGCCATGCACATGTTGATGAAATATAGCTAAACCTTAAAATACAAATAGATTTAGGAGTGTGGAGCGTTGAAGAAGTTGGGGGTGGGTGGGTAGAATGAACAAAGTTATACTTTGTCCCAAATGTCAGTATTATTACTCCAACTCTAAGTGTTATTGATTTCTGTACCCCTTTCTAACACTCTGGTGGGTTCTGCAATGTCCTAAGCTCTGTCTTCTGAAAAGGTTCTAAAAGCCAAGAGCATTGTTCAAGCCATGATTTGACTCTTCCTTCTTTATTTATAAAGAACAACATGTTCTTTACTTCCCCTCAATTCTCACATAACGCCAAATCTCCTGTTTCTGCAAAGAGAGTTTTGGAAACATATCTGGCAGGTATAGCAAGACCCTCAAGAGAAATCACACAGTTTCCAAGAAGCACAGGAAAGACTACAAACAAAATAAACACTGCATTGAAAGTTTAGTTCAGCTTCGCTAAAGAAATTAATGAATTCCCAAAGAGAGGAGATAAGCACAATCCTGTCTCTAATGACACCCTGGTTTCTGCAAATGCCTACCTTGTGCCCCTGTGAAAGCAAATAGGGAACTGAATTTGAAAACCAAAGTAAGGCTAGTGAATTCCTGAAAGGAGACTGTTCCTTTCCCTGGGAGAATAACCAAGCCATGCACTGGTTTTTACCAGTAGTATACTCTGGCTTGAACATTTTTAAAGGAGACTGCTGAGCATCTGCCGAGCAACTCATGACAGCCGCAGTGTGCGATAATGGTCCCTGTGAAAGTTTCCGTGTTCCTGCTTTGAGACATGAAATGCTACAGGCAGTGGGCCTTTACACAGGGATTTTCTCTTTCTGTATCAGATATGAGAGGATGGGAAGAGAACAGGAACGAAAAGGCCATATGTGCATCAATCTTCGTTACCCATATGTGAATATGTTACTTTCAATTTAGAAAGCACCATTGCAAGCAAGCACCTCAGTCCAGCTACCTGTCACCTAATGTGCCCTGTTTCCCATGCATAAAAGGAAATTACCCTCTACTCTATGTGGTCGACATTCAGTGCAATACTCTGGTGTTCAAATAGCTATTTTTAGTTTTCTGAATAAGGTAGCTTCAGCTACTCCAGGATAAATTTCAAGTAAGAAACTGATAGTTCTTCATCGTAATTATTTGTAGTATTCTTGACAAAAATCATGGCTGTTCATGTTATTACGAAAGTCCAGTCCAAGATGTCTGTACCTAGGGATGTAGCCAGTTCTATACTCTTATGTGAACAACATGCTGAGATTCAGTTAATATTCTTTCAGTCTTCCTCATTTTTTCTGTACAGAAACTAATGTTCCACATAAGGTTGCCAAGTCATTCCATACACAAACTTTATGATGCTGGCTGACAAAGTTTGCATTTGGACTAAAAGATGCCATTACTAATAAGCCTAATAGGAAGGAAAGTAAGCAGACTTAATGATAAGAAGAAGATTTTTATTTCTCTCATTAAGTTTTCCCAGTGTAATAGCACCTTCCCCCACTACAACTGTATCTTTTCTCTTGTTGCCTTGACAACACTCTTGATACAGCGTCGGTCTCTCAAATGCTACAGTTATGTGGACTTCCAATGACAGCTATTCTTTCTGACACCATTTCTTCCCAGAAACCCAACTCCTGCTCCCAAAAACCTTATCAGGTCTTTTCAACTTTGTATTTTTCCTGGCCATCTAAAACTTACTCCAGGGGAAAGAATTTCTCATGGCTATCAAGAATGAAGCTTCCATGTGAGCTATGGATCCACATATGTCCTAGGATTTCCTTGCTGTATCAGTTTCTCATGGCTAAGCCCTGGGTTAAACAGGTCTCAGATATCAAATTACCTATTTTTCAACTTGGTTTTAATTCTAAACTAGCTCTCTCACAAGAAGTCATCCCACCCACCCACTGCCTTTTCTAGTCTTCTTGTATTTGAGATAGGGACTCAAACTAGACTTGCCTTGATTCTCCTGGTCGTCTGTTGAGTGTTGGTCTTGCTGCATGTCAAATTTACCAAACCAAAGTGAGGCATATTTGAAGTATAATATAGTGACAAGTGAAATGAAAAGCTGCCACACATAATAACTGAAAAGACAGCTGTATGAAAAAGTAGAGGGTCAAAACATAGTTGGCCTCCAGTGTAGAAAAACTGGAGAAATATGGCTAGTTCTCTGTTTAGCTTGCCTCGGGCTGTCTCCTTGCCCCACTCCCAAAGACTCTAGATGCACATAGAAAAGGGATATTTTTCTGATCAAGTCTCACTACCACAGAATTTTTCATTTACTGAATTCATTCAGAAGTTGAATATGTTTAAAACAAATTTTAAATTACAAGAGATGAAATATATCCCTTCCAATGAAGAATTCTGTATAGAATATCAGGCTCTATTGCTTCCCACCTCTAAATGTATAGGGGAGCAGGTAGCTATGTGTGCTATGGGAGAGGATGATGATATGCAGTATGTCTTCTAAGCAAGTTCAATTGATGAACTAAGTAAGTTTCACACCCCCATTCAAAGACTCGTATGGCTTCTCAGAGTTCACCAAAGTACAGAGGGCTCACATGGCATATTCCATACAATACCTACCTACTTTCTCTGTGTTCCATAGGAATCAAATCTGACTACTTTTTAAGATTATGGGGGAAAAATAGGATACAGTGGCAAGACTCTAACCTGTTTCCAGACCTGGGAACTTCCTGGAATCTCCAAGAAAATGGAGGATTGAGGTGGGAACTTCTGCCCTCCCTCCTCAATTGTTTGGCTTCTTCAGCAGCCTAACCCTTAGTTCTTTGATCTTTGGAATATCTCATGAATTCTGTCCTATCTATCCTTCAAGAATATTCCCAAATGCCAACTCCTTTAATAAAAATATTCAATCTCATTTGGGACAAATAGAATTAATCTCTGCCTTTAATTTCTTAGATTGCCTCAATAATAACAAGCAGGAATTAAAAACAAACTTTTCACATGTCACTCATTCTCCTAAGTATATCATCCAAATTAAGCTAATTCCTCCATTTAAATATTTTCAGTTCTAGAAATAAAATCAGTTCTAGAAAAAAAATGATGGAAGCTAAAGATCTGCCTAAATTTAAAAAAAAAAGAAAGCAAAACAAAACAAAAATTTAAAAGTTACATGTTTATGTGTAGTGACATATTATTTATGATTTCTTAAAGCTTGCATGAGAATTCAGAGAGCAAAGTCAGCCACAAGCCATAGAAGTCTGGTACAACCCTTTAACCATGGGACTAGGGATTAAGAGGTAGAAGAATCTCTGTGAGTCCAAGGCCATGCAGAGCTACACAAGAGTGACTCTGTCTAAAAGAGAATTATAGCTCACACTTTTAATTCCATGACTCATGAGAGGTATATAAGTATCAGGCCTTTGTAGGAGGCATCAGTATCTAGCCATGCTGAGGGTAGTTCATGGGTCATCCCTTTCAGCCTGAGGTAGAGGTAAAAATTAGTGGCCAGCTGCTTTGCTTTTCTTAATTCTCATGTAAGCTTTAATAAATCATAAATAATTTATCACTACATTTATATACAATGTGTTCACTCTCTACACAAACACTCATACCCCATCTCCTGTCCTATAGCATATCTTGGCCCAGTGCCACCACCATAATTGCCCACACAAAACCATATTATAAGCTTCATCAGTATGCACATGATTTCCAATTAGCATTTGTGTTTCATGATGCGTCAGTTCAATACTCTGCCAAAACAAGCAACTGATAAATATTGCTGGTCTAGTTAATTATTAATATACACAGTGATATATCTATTTATAAATGCTTTACATTACTTATTTCTTACTGAAAACTTTCTCAATAGTTAGAAGGAGGACTTTCCTGCCTATTTCCTTGCCTAATTTTTATGAGAGACAGAGAAGATCAAGAACATTTATTTACAAAATTAGGGTCAAATAAAGGTTCATTCTATATCTCTCCCAAGTCTCTACTTCACCTGTACTACTATAGCTTGGAACATAAAGACATCAGATTCTTTGTGCTATGAAGGAATTGAAAATAAGTCTTAGTATGAAAAATTTAAAGACATTACTTATAAAGTTAATGTTCTTTTCTCAGGTATGTTGAGGCAAAGCATGCACCTAAGTTATTTATTGAACTGTTTTCCAGGGACTACCTTATTCTCTTTCCAGACTAGTTCTTCATTAGGGCAGAGCCATCAGTAAAGAAAACTTTCAAGAACTATGCCCGATTTATGATCACCATCTATCCTTGATTACAATGAATGTGACTTCCCTTCAGTACAGTTGCTATCAGGAACCTCCCCATATAGAAACTGACCTGCTGTTAGGTGAGCTGCATGGACAAGAACTTGGACCCCAGGCTTCAGCTCGAAGTGCACCAAGTTTTGGTTGAGTTTGTGGATTAGAACTTCAGATATCTGAAAGAAGTGTTATGGTTAGTGCCACCAAAATTGTCATATTGACTATAACAGCCACACTGAGAAATACTCTAAATGTTAATCATGGCCTGCTAACACTACACGCAAATGACATAAAGGGAGAGTCTGTTACATCTAAGCCCTGAAAAGTAGGAGCTTGATGCAACCCACACATTCTGGGTGTGATTTGCTTTCCTTACTTCACTTTCTCTAAACCCTTCCCATAGCTTTCTGGGAAAGCACTTTATGACTGTTGGATAAGAAATGTTGTCAGTAATATAGTAAACAATGCAATTAAACACAATGTGGCCACAACTTAAGCAATGAATTAGCTGATCTCTGTTTCATTCATGTAGGCATTTGCTAAATCATTCCTGAGGCTGGTATATGTTGGTAGGATATATGGAATTCTAGGCAATGGACTATTCAGCCAGAGCAAAGTGTTTGAGTAGAAAGTATTACAGACAGGGTAAGAACTCTTTACTATGCATGGCTTACACATTCTGGGGAATTTCTGAAAGGCTCTGAGGAATAACCAGACTACTTATTTTTATCTGCTGTCCTTCCCTTATTTTTGATATACTAGTTTAAGCATCAAGTTCATATTTTATTTAATATGCTATTAAGTCTAATTAGATGGATGTTGAGCATTATTCTTCTACTTAAATTTTTTGCTTTCCCTTTTTTATTTGATGAGTTTCATCTTCTCAACTAAGTTGTCAAAATAGCACAGTGGAACCTTAATAATTAAGTAGGCCCTGATTGTTTGTTTGGAGTCCATTATAGAAGTCACTAGTTGATAATGGAACTTCAGTGCCATGCACATAAACTTCTTTACTGAATGAGAGGAGCACAAGATGATCCCCATGCCCCATGGATGACACTGGGGGTACGTCTCTCAAACACTGTCATAACAAACACTGTGAATAATGTAAGGTTGTGTCAAAGCCAGGCTGAAAAGAACTTGGTGCCTCTCTGAAGATACTCCTTTATGAGTGTGGGAAATTTTCCTTAGCAGTCCAGGTTTACAGGAAGAGTATATTTCCAAGAAATTTCTTCCAAGGTGTTTACTCTGTAATCTCTGATTACCACTCAGTTAGTGGGGTCTTGATGGGAAATAATGGATTATTAGTAAATGTCTATCATAAAGATTTTGACTTTGAAACCTACAAATGCATGTAAATTATAAACATACAAATACATGCAAACATTCAAATACAAGGTTATGTAGACATATAATGAAAAAAAAACCACTCTATTCCAAACATAAAGGATGTCTCAGAAGCAATTAAGAAACTGACCTGTTTCCTAGAAACTATCAGAACCATAAAACATAACTAAATATCTACAGCAGGAGGACTTTTCACTTTCACACAGGTGAAGTAATAGTACTTCTTAGTCCTGATCACGTTTATATTCATGTGAGACATATAAATAACTAAATCAGAAAATATAATTTATAATAACAACATACTTCTAATTTATTATCTCCAGGAGAGTCTCTCATGAAAATAATTAGATATGTGTTGGTTTCGGTCATTGCTTCACTGGATTTGTCGGTATCATTTACAAAACTAAGCCAGGTATGCAAAATTAATCGGGTAACAGAATGTATTTCATGGTATTTAACTTGCATCAAAAGATATTTGATAAAGGATATATACTCTGTGGGAGAGAAATTATGCATAAGAAGCAAAAGTAAATGCAATCTATTCCGTATTGATTAGAACTAGGCATTTTTCTACTCAAATAAAATTCAAAATAGTTGCAAACAGTTTACAAATTTCAACAGTACTTTACAAACTTACTAGGTTAATTACAGAAGTATTTACTCTGCATTGTCTTCATCAGACCATGGGATGTTGTTTATATATTTAAGTATATGATATATGCATTCAACACTTGATTTTGATAATGTTGCTTATGCCTGGTGATTTCTTTGTGTTTATGCAGGCATCCCCATGGAAGAACTTAAAGAACAAGTTTACACTTGTTAATATTTGAGGAGTTGAGACTAAACTTCAGTTTTGTTTGATTCCTAATCTAAGTTTCTGCACTACTGAAAATTAATAGGTCTCTTGAATTATTTGACCAAGAGGGAAAGAGGAAGATAACTAGTTGAATATCAGGGTGAGTTTAGGAAATAAAATTATCACACTATTTAACTGATTATATTGTCATTTCTAATCCAACAGTAAGTAACACACAGACACACACACAGACACACACACAAATACTATCTACAATTCCACTGAGCAATGAAGGCCAAAAGAATAGGCATTTGCTAACACTTTCCTCGTGTACATATTCATTCCACATATATATATATATATATATATATATATATATATATATATATATAGTAATATTTGAAAGTTTGGAAAACAGAAAGATTATACCAAACTGTAATCTACAGGAAGTGTATTGAGACCCTAGATCAGAAGAATAATCACTTGCCTGATGAAGACTCAAGTGAAATGATGTGATCATTCAAAGACCAGACTTGTTAAAGTGAGATGAATTTACTTCTCTTGCTGTCCAGTGAAAAGTGTGCCTCCTAAGTCAATTCCACTTTTAATTCATACTGTCATTCATTCCTCTTCTGCTGCTTTGCTACACAGCCCATTTCCTATTCTACTTCAACTAAACAATCATGGCTCAAGAAACAGCCTATTATTCTTGGTATCTGCCTTTTTGTTAGAATATACCTATGATTCAGATGAAGTTCACATTTCACTTATATGAAAACATAATGGGGACTCAATACAAACACTAGAAAAGGATATTATGGGAGAACCTTACTATAAGAAAAACAGCAGTATCCCTTACTTTTATCTCAAAAGATGAAGATTGAGTATAACAATTAGAATAAACTCAGGGACTTGAACAAAACAGGCATTATTTTTCCTTCATGCACAGTTTCGACCACATGTGGGCAGATGCTTCCCATCACATTGGAGAAGAAACTATTTCAAATGTTTTCATGCACTGTAGCACAGGAGGAAAAGGATTTGTAAGCACTTGACTTCTTCGGGTTAGAAATGACACATGGAATTCCTTCTCTCAACACAGTTATTTTACATAAGTGCCAAGGCTATGCCCAGATGGTAGAGAACCATAGTTATCATCCTATGGGCCCTAAAGACAGTAGACTGTCAATATTCAGTCTCTAATGATGATAGTCATCATACTAGGAACATATTCAACATTTAAGTCATCTTTAATAAAAAATATTTGGAGAAAACACACATATGACTGGAATGAAAATGTCAATCATTGAAACATTAACAAAAAGGAAATTTAAAAGAAGTGTTAGTCAGTTTTTTGTAACATTCCAAACAGGTAGTACAGAGTGCAGATTTAGGGTGTGCTGGAGGTTGTGACAGTTGGGATGTGGTTTGGAAAGTGGATATAATCAAAATTCAGTATTTACAACATAAAGTATTTTCAAATAATGAAAGTATTTAAATAAAGCATAATTGATGAGGGATGTCCTTCTGTATGCTATGAATATATGTTTCTCTTATTGGTTGATTAATAAAGCTGTTTTTCCAATGGACAGGCAGGATGTAGCCAGGCAGGAAAAATAGGCAGGGGTACCAGGATAGATGAATTCCAGGAAGAAGACACAGAGAACTAGTGGCCAGGGAGATGCCACACAGCTGCTGAGAAGGAAAGAGGCTTGGGTATTCTCCAGTAAGCCAAGACCATGCGGGAATACATAGATTAATGGAAATGGGTTAATAATTAAGAGAGATCTAGCCAATAAGAAACCATCAGCCAAACAGTTTATAATTAACATAAGCCTCTGTGTGTCCAGTTGGGACTAAACAGCTGTAGGACTGGGAGGGACAGAAACTTCCATCTACACAAAATGTTGAATTACTTTCCTTATTTCATTCAAATGTTTTTATTTTCTTGGTCTTCATACAGAATTTATTCACATTCTCTTTGAGTTCATTGGACATGTTTGTAATTGTTGTTTTGAACTTACTACCTTGTACATAATCTAAGTTGCTTCCCTTGGTATGTATTACTATGGGAATAATATTCTACTGTGAAGGATATATGTTGTCTTGGTATTTAGTGTTGTTTGTGGTTTTATTTTGAAACCTGGGCTTCTGGAGTTAGAATGTTGGTATTGTCTTTTAATATGGACACCTGTCTTACCTTTCTTGAGTGGGCAAGTGAACCTCTGTTTGCTGATACCCATACTTGTTAGGTTTTGGATCAACTAAATGATACTTTCAGTTTGATCTTAGGGACGCTTGGTATTGATGTGCAAATAGATTCTCTAAAGTGTCCTAGCTCAGCTAGGGTTAGGTGTAGCTCCTGAGCATAGGAACAAACACCCCTCCCTCCCAAGAGCTAATAAGTTCTCATTGAAGATCCTCAGAAGTCTACAGAAAGCGTACATAGTCCTGAATGGCCCTCATGTGGCAGGTGCTGTGGTCATAGCACAGATATTTGGTGTTCTTATACACGATTTTTGAAATTCCTACATAGCAAATACTTTTTAAAAAAGTCTTTGGCAAATTTATTGGTGACAAGGTTTACCCGGTCCAAAGTAGTCATAATTGTTCATAAAGTTGGTCTGAGGCATGTAAACCTTGCTGAATATAAATACTATTCTAGTGCCATCTTTAGAGAAAATATGGGCTGGGGTGAATTAGGAGAAGAACCAGTTGATAAAGCCTGGACCTGCAGTCTCTTTAACTACTAATTGAGGAAGTTCTTGTTTTTAACAGAGCAAACTTTTTCCTGACTCATACAACACAACTACATGGTTGAGAGGCTATGGATCCAAATTCTGAATTCCAGTTGAGGCTCTTCACACATTCCCATTCTTTCATTGGATGGATCATTGCTAGCTTTAAGCTTTTCCATGATTTAGCCTGTCATGTGCCTTTCCTTTACCTTTTATGAACCTTATATTGACTATAGTGTTCCTATTTTAATGGCCTTTGTTCTCAATATCATACTAAATCCCCATGTTTCAAACTGAGGACTGACAGTGAGCAGAATTAGTAGACAAAATAATCTGTTTGCTGACTGTATTTAATAGCAAATATTAACCTGATTAAAAGTCACCAATAGATTAATCTATTTTCATAGATGCCTTTCCTTTCCCCTCAAAATTTGCAATATCCATCTGTAAGGAATAACAGATTAAACAGAAAATATATTATTCATGTTTTCTATTTTCCACTGTTCCTTTTGTTTCTCTTAAATACATTTAATTTTATTTTTTGAGATTATAATACAATTATAATATTTCTCCTTTTACTTTCCTGCCTGTAAACCCTCTCATATAACTCTCTTAGCTGTCTTCTGAATTTATGGTTTCTTCTTTCACTGTCATGTATATATGTTTATGTACATACATATATGATCCTAAATATGACCTGCTCAGTCTGTATATTGTATATTGCTTTTAGGGGTGAGGGTTTGGCTTTGGATAACCAGTTCTTCCTATAATGTCATTAAAGGAACTAGAAAGTCCACAAGCACAAGCCCTCTCTTCTCCAGCAAGACATCATAACCTCCTCAGAGCATGGTAGTCTCTCCTCTGTAGAAGTGGCAGATCTACCCCTGTCACCCCCGAGGACTCAGAAAGAAGCAAGGGATGCAGAGCCCAAAGGGCAGAAATTGTTCCAGGCTTGAGCAGCTGGTCTTAGCAGCAGGATGTGCTCTTCTTGATGAGGCCACTGAGGGCAAGAGAGCCTTTTCACACCCTCTGGAGATCTGAAGGCAGAACTGGTGGAGCTCTCCCAGATATAGGGCACTTCATTAACCTGCTGGTAGCATCCCGATAAAGGGGTCACATGCTTCTCACTGCGAAGAATTCTCGATTTATTTCACAGACAAGATAGTTCCATTCAACTAGCATCCCTGTTCCCTGGGGAGTGCTCTCAGAAGTGGCTCAGGGAAGAGAGCCAGGGACATTTCACTGTGGTTTTTCCCTCCACCTCTTTAGGAACCACTAGACAGTATCCATGTTCGTACCCTATTGGACATTCTATACAATTTCTTTAGAAGAGGGGCTAAGATCAGCAGCATTCCTGAGTCAGCTCTCACAAAATGGGCTCCAGTTTTTATTTGTTTGTTTTGGTTGCTTGTATCTTTTGTATTTGTATTTAAAAGCCTACATATTTTATTACAGTGTAAGCACTTCCAACGTTCTTTTCTCCTTCACATTTTTCCTCTGCTTTCACATTAATACCTTTGGACAGACTACTCTAAACACCTGAAATTTTATCAACATTACTCTATCTATATGACTTCAAGGATCAAGATGCCTGTCCACTTGTCCCATACCTGACCCATGATAACTATAAATCTGGGGCTCCTGGTGGTGATGTTGGAGGAAAGGTACAGTCTTTAGAGAGGGCTCAGCCTCAAGCTAAATAGAAGCTGGGTTTGCACAGTCATCCTTGCTTTCCTAGATAGGGGTTCCTATTCTTGAAAAAGCTCCTATGTGGTCCTAAGAACAGGAGAAGGAGAGAGGATACAGAATATTGATGGATGACACTCTGGATTGGTTCTGAATTTATCTATGCCTAAACTGTATCACTGGACTGATAGGGGATGTTCTTCTGTATGCTGGGAATATATGTCTCTCTTATTGGTTGATGAATAAAGCTGTTTCAGTTAATGGGTATGCATGATTTATCCAGGCAGGAAACTCAAACAGGGATAGAGAAAGGGAGTAGGTGGAGTCAAGGTAGGACAGCTGGGCATTCTCTGGTAAGGCCATGTGGAGATACACAGATTAATAGTTATGAATTAAAAATTAAGAAAGAACTAGCCAGTAAAATGCCTAAGCCAATGGCCAAACAATTATAAATAAATATTAAGTCTCAGAATGGTTATTTAATAACAGCTGTAGGGACCCAATTAGGTGGAAACTGGTCCAGTGGGACTGAGACTAGACAGAGAAAATCGCAACACTGGACTTTTAATTAAATGAGTTTCTAAGCTCACTTCTACCACACCCTCAGTTAGTTATGTGACTGAGAAAAGCATCAGCAGATATTACCTAGAATGAAAACTACAAGTTACCAGGGGGCAGCCGGTTTTGCAGAGTCTCAACAAATACCAGGCCTTATAAGGTAATTTCATCATCGCATTTTTCAATTAGGATAATAATAGTCTCCCTAACTAAATCACTAATTTCTCATGGGTTTTAAGTGGAAGTGGACAATGAGTTTACTTTGACTACAAACAAGCAATAATATAATAATTTCCCTTCTAGATTGGTATCATGCTTTTCACTGAAATTATAGAAGTACCCTTTTCACTATAAAGCCTCATAACTGCCACTAGCCACTTCGCCACTATAATTTCTTCCACTTTCTTACTGTCCTTATTTGAATCATTTTACTTCCTCAGTATCTTTCTTCCAAAACTGCCCTTCAGTATCCCAATCTATTTAATAATCTGAATAACTTATTTTTCTTATTTCCACATTGTTTTCTATCATAAAACAATCATACATGTAATTGTTACATTTATTGAACATCTATTATAGTGGCCAGGTGCTTTGTTGTATAATTTCTTTAGTCAACAAAAACACCTATGGGATGCTGTGACTTTTACTAAATTCCTAATACTAATTTAGTTTCTTTGATTTCTTCATCTCTCTCCATGAATATCAGTGACAAAAATTACAAAACTGGCTTAGGTCTCTCTTAGATAATCTCAGCACCAAAATGTAGATATCCCTAAATGTGTACCAAATTCTAAGTGGCATGACCTTCAAAGAAGTCACCTGCTCTCAGATCTGTAATTAAACTATCGCTGATGCTAATAGCAAGGTTAATGACAGATTCCATCAGTCTTCTAAGAGCTATATTGGCAGCTAGAAAGATTATGGGTTGGAGATACTATAGGGAGAAGTTGGAATGTCTTCTGGGCAACTCACCTGCTCCAGGTCCTCTGGAGACCTTTTGTTTTCTCTGGTTGCATCTTGGTAGGGCAAAACAAAGAGCTCAGCAGCAGTGGGTAAGCCAGGTAATACTGCTACCAGGATGTGTTGGCTGGGAATCCCTGTGGCCTGTGGGGGAGACAAAGAGACCAGGTGAGTCCCATGAAGGATAATGACAAAGAAGCAAGTATTAGGCACCGATAAAGGCAGAAGCCATACTGGAATGTGAAGAGTGTTGACTCAGGAGCAGAGCCTTGGGTACTGAGAGCAGCAGGGGATAGAATGGGCAGCATTGTGTCACCAGTTAAGTTCAGAGTCGGAATGTTTGATTCAGGCTCAATCCACGATTCTTCACTCAGTTCTTTATGCCTATAATTCTATTTTCTTAACTAGAAAAATTGTAAGAGTAACAGCTGACTTGCTAACTGATGACTCTGAGCACATGAAGCATTTCTGCTGGATTCTAATGCTAAAAGGTTATGAAAATGATCAGCACACATTACATACATGTATGAAAAAGAAGTCACAATGAAGATCTCTATATACAATTAATACATACTCATATAAATTGAAATAAAGATAAAATATTCAAATAGCATTCAAAAGCTTCTTCCTTCCTTGTTTAATCATCTGTGTCCATACTAATAACCTAGGGTTCACTCTGAGCCCATTCCCTAGATGGTTATAGAAATCAATTTTTCCCCTCATGACCACTCAAAACACCATGTGTTTGTTTCACTAGGACTTTAATAGTCATATGAAAAATAACTTCTCATTATCACTCTTCTATCTTTATTCTACATTTCTGTGATCAAAAGTAGGCTTTTTTCCCCAGTTATGTTAGTTTGGGACCAACAGCCATTCACTTCTGACATATGCCATCCTCTTTTCCTCCTGTTACATGTGAGACTTTAACCTGTCACCCTCTGAATGAAGGATCATCTCATTCTTCCTTGTGGATATCCATCTGCTGTTGATATCTCAAGTCATCTGTTCAGGTCACAAGCCTAGAGTGTTGCAGGTTACTCTGTTCACATTCACCCCCCCCCATAGTCCAACTTCAGCCATCTTCTCCTGTCTAAAGTGCTGGAAACCAATCTCATTACTGCATATGCTCAAGGAGTTGTACGGAGTGGTTCCCCTCTTCCTTTCCAAACCAATTACCAACAGCTCACACAGGGTTCCATTGCTCTAGCGAGTTCTAAACAATTTCTCCACATTTTAGCTTTTCTTGTAGGTGTATTTGTTCACACTGACAATGCTTCTTAGAATGTTTTTCTTATCTATTTTACGTGTATGTTTCTACATATCTCCTACAAGTCATCGGAAAGTCTACATATTTTAGTAGATTTTTTTTCATGATTTCCAACTGCAATGCTTATTTCTTAACTGCTTTTTCCAAATTAGCAGTATATTCAATATATTAGTGCCTTTTGATTTGCCCTGAGGTTTTGCTGAGTAATTTATCAATGTTATGTACAGCTTCTTGCCATAAGCCCATGAAGCATGAATATGCCTCACTTTTCAGGTGAAGATACATTACAGGTTGGGGTCCTCGGGAAGCTGATTCAATGGCCATAGTGTGTTGAAGAAATCTTCCCTTCATTTCCTATGAGGATGAAGGAAATGGAGCAGGTATGGGCAGGGGGAGCTTGGCTGCCATGGGGACCCAATGGGAGCATCAATAGATCTCATAAAGAGATAGACTGGCTCTTTAGGTGTGCTTCAAATTGAGTGAAAAATAACTCTGTAGACTCACATTTACTTGGCATGACCTACTCTGAGGACTATTAGAACAAGGCATCCCTCAGTACTATGACAGCTAAGGCATGTCTCTCCCTAAATAGGGATCTAGGTATTTAGGACCTAGGGCAGACAGAAACTGCAGCAAGGGCAGGCAGTGACTCAAAATCATCTGGGAAGGGTTTGGTAATACTGTGAGCTTTGATCTAACTGTAAGCATATAAATATAACTTGTCTTCTGTGATTCCTTTATCCCGATGCCACAATATAATTCTGATTACAGCTGATGACATACTGTTTCATGTGTCTACTAAGTTTCAAACTCTGAGATTAAGTTAAAAACATCTTCCTTTTAAGCAAAAGGATCATCTACTGACTCAAATTCATTCAAAGATTCCATTATGTTATGTCCATATCAAAAGCCAGTTTGGTGAAGAAACAAACAATAACCAATTTTATACAGAGCTCTATCACATAGCAACATAATAAACTGTGACAAAGATGACACAAGTTGTCCTTCTTGTTGGAGGAGCACACTTAATGAGGCCCCTTAGGACTTAATGAAGTGGCCAAGTATAATTACTGATCTCAAAGATGGGGGAAATAAAAATTGTGACAAAGGAACAGATCAGTTGCCTCTTGGGAAAACTGAAGAGTGCTAGTTATTCCTTGTCTCTAGATCACTCCCACCCTGTCTTGAGAGATGGTGATCCAACACAGTCATTTTGCATCCAATTGGCTATTATTACATACAGCAGACTGGAAGTATTAATGAGCAGTGTGCATAGACTACTGGGAAGCTGGTTGTAAGGTAGAGGTTCACAATTTATGATCCTGAGAATGTGAGTGTGAATAGAAAGCCACCTCAGAAATCTCAGCATCGCTGAGTTGATGCTTTGCTGATGAACTCCTTGGGGGTAATCACACAAGTTCCAGAGAACCAAGGTACTTAGAAAATTGTATACTAAGAATCTGAGAAAGGGCTCATTGAAGGGGATAAGCTATCTTGCTTGGATATACTTTGATATCTAAGAAAGGTTGGTGAAGGCAATGACAAAGATGGTGATGCTAATTTCTTTTGGGCCAGTAGTTGATCAATTGAGCCTGCTGGTGACTAGCATATGGAACTATTAATGTGGTAGCTGCTAAGAGCAGTGTAACAGAGGTGAGATGGAACTTACTCAGAGGGACCCAACAATTCCTTGCTCTCCACCCAAATATTCCCTTTATCCATGTTTGTATTGCAAAAACCAAAGGGCAGAGTACATTAGTGTTGTAATTTAGGAAAACTGGTGCAGGAGGGAAAGGTGCCATGTGACAGAGTTCAAGCAGGGTTTGGTCATAGAAAGGGGAAAGGAGTAGGGGAAGACAAGCCTCCAGGGACAAGAGCAGCATGAAAGAGGAAAGAGCAGCAAAAAGAAAGGGAGAGAAATAGACAGATGGGGAGAGAAAGAGGAGGATGGGAGTGGGCTGGGCCCTTTTAAAGGGGAACATAGTGAATTTGCACAAGGAGTGCTCTTAGTGCTGCAGCTGAGGGTGTACCCTGTTGGAACCCAAGGACAGGCCAGTGCAGATGCCTGAATACTAATACATAACACTGCATGGAGTTAAGAATCTACATCTGAGGTCTTACATCAAACCCTGACTTTTAATTGCGTGGCTTTTGCCTCCTTGCTGAACTCCCTCACCTATAAAGTAGAAATGAGCATAAAATAATATCATCTTATTTTTGCTACTAAATGCAGTTAACTGATGTGAAGTATCAAGAAAACAGAAGCATGTCCAGTGTTAATATGTATCAATAAAGGCACAAGTGAGGTGTATCCTTACACGAAACCTATGCCATTGCCTTCCTAATCAGAGATTATCTGAGTGTCTTTACTGCATCTTTGTTTTGCATAAAGCTCCAGTATGTATTAGGAATAGAAAACAATATATGCAATGATATATTGATATTTCTTTCCTATTGTGCTATGAACACATGATGGCTTCTCTTTGTTGTTAGCTTAACTACATCTGTAACCAACTAAAACCCAGGCAGCTAGGCACACCTGTGAGGAATTTTGCTTAATTGGATCACTTGAGATGGGAAGAAGCACTCTATGTTTGGCCATTTTAAGCTGTGAAGATCTGCCTGAAATCTGGGTCAGTTAAGGGAGGAAGACACACCCTAAACCTGGGCCACACCTTTTGCTGGAAGCCTAAATAAGGAGGACGTGAAAGAAGGGAGCTTTTGCATTTTGCCTGCTTGCCATTGCTCTCAATAACAAGTTAATTTGTCATGCTCCTATGGCATTCTTCACTGATATTAAAACCTAGTTCTTTAGGATCCCAAGGCATATTGAAGACCAGGTGATACATCTAGTCTCATGGACTGGACAACTATTGAATCTGAGGAGGGCCCTTCTGTCGGGAGACAGCCATCAATGGACTAGCTGGACCACAGCCTATAAACCACTCTACTAAATCCCCTTTTAAATATATTCAGTCTATCAATTCTGTTTGTCTAGAAAATCTTAACTAATATAAGCATATTGTGGTGAAAGTTCTTATTTCCCTTGTTTGCCACTACATTGATCAACCCATGAGTAGAAGTCTCACTCTTTGCCCCACTGATGAAAGTGAAGCAGATGGGGAAGGGGCCTGTGCTTTCCAGTCTTCAGCAACTTGTGCCCACATAGGAATAATCCACATCATGCTGCTCTTCCAGAGAGCATAGGCAGATTACATCGTAAAACCCCGGACATGAAAAGCAGGCCATTCAATTCAGGGTTGTAGTTTTGTCACCTATTATTCATGAGTCTGGGGGAGTTATTTCAGCTGCTTTTTCTACAAAACAAAGATACTAATCAGCTTCTCTTGGACTTTGGGAGCCCATTTCCCATGGATGGATACTCTCTTAGCCTAGATACACTGAGTGGGGAGGGGCTAGGTCCTATCCCAAATGACATGACAGACTTTGATGATCCCCCATGAAAGGCCTCACCCTCCCTGGGGAGAGGATGGGGTATGAGATCAAGGATGATGGGAGGGAGAGAGAACTGGGATTGATATGTAAAATAAGAGTGTTTCTAACTTAAATAAAACTTATAAACAACAAGAAGAAGGTGAAGAAGAAGAGGAAGAAGGAGGAGGAGAAGAGAAAGTATGGAGTAGCCTTGAATTCATTGGAATAGGAAAGGCCTTCCTGAACAGAATACCATTAGTACAGACACTAAGATCAACAATAAATGGGACTTTGTGAAAGTGAAAAAACAAAAAACAAAAAACAAAACAAAACAAAAAAAAAAAAAGAATTCTGATGACTCTGAAATATGGTAGGCATCCTGTACCGTGTGCTCTTGGCGCTGTGTGCTACTCTTGTTAATTACACTCACCCTTAAAGACAGACACTTAGGGTTCTCCTTGGTTATGCACAGTCACTAAAATCCCCAACTCATCTGCATAACTGTCACAGATGTCCACGTCCCTCTTGAAGAGGAATGAGATTCACAGGGGGCAAGGACCATATGTTTCTGAGAGCTGGACACCAATAATAAAGACAGGCATGTATATATGGATGGTAAATATTAAGATACCAATTTGATATATCCTTTGGGCTCCAGCTCTGTCTTCTCCTTCCTTTGTAAAGGGTCTGCTCTCCATGAAGCCATTCAAAGAGAGGGAAAGACTGTGTCTGATGGACAGAAGGTAATGCTTGTACTCACTTCCACCAGAGATTTCTTGATGACTCGGCTGATGTCCCTCCTCCATTCTGGGATGTCCGGGTTGTAGTCATCCAAGTTTGGAGAAAAGGCCAAACGAAGAGAGCGGAATTCCTCTGTGGATACAACAGTAAGTCCATCACTACAATGTCAATAACTCCACAAAGCATTCAGAATGCTGTTTTTCATACAAAATTTTTCACATACTGCATATTTACCCTTCTAGAAGGCAAAGTCACTATCCTTCCTGTCCCTGTGATCTCTCTAACTCCTCCTTTGCTAAATTGGGGCCATGGACCCTGAACCATACCTAGATATGTAGCCTTTGACCATTAGCCCTAGCTCTAGGCTTTGAAATCCTAGACGTTAAATGATCCAAGGGCCTGTACACATGGCAATGTTAGGATGCCAGAACACATGCATATCTTATTCTCCTAATATGAATGCCCACTCATTCCAGTACCTACAAAAAATGTATTCTACAGCTATTTAAAAACTTTCTTGACTGAACATTCTTCCTCGTCATCAATATTTTCATTTCATTTTTTAAAATTATACTACTGTCTTGAGCATATGCGTTTATTTTATGAAGGTATAGTAATTAGGATATCATGTACCTATATTTATTAATGTGATTGTTCTATTGTTGGGGGTTTTGATCATAAGTTTCATAGGATGGCATTTCATGTTGTTCCTAACATCAGGGATATTTCTGTTTTATCTATAGTCCCTGAATCAGTCTTGATCCTCCAGGAAGTGGAATGATGACTCAACTAACAGCGATGTTACCAGAGGAATTTTCTGGGATAAAATGAGGAGAGGCTCAGAGGAGGCATGGAGAACATTTACACCAAGGCATGAGGGACAGGAGTCAACTGGCAAAGGAAGCCCTGTGCTCTAGGAAAGGGTAAGCTTTAGTACGCTGCGACACTGTGTCATTAGCTGCCGTCTGCCCCAAGAAAGTAAACTAAGACCCCAGGCTGGCGTGCGCTTCAGAATATATCATCAAGGTGTATCTGTATGTCTTCAACAGCCTTATCTCATAGTATCTGGCACACAGAATATGCAGAACACAGTACTCTCCTGATTGACTAGTTGCTCCACAGTGCACTTAGAGTAAATGTATTTCCCTTACATAGTCTTTTGCATCCCACTACGCAACCTATCTCTGCTACCTCATATCCTGCAGGGTTTCCCTGCCTGCATACCTTACACTCCTGAGCGCTGTCCTTCCCATTGCTTCTCCATGATGCCATCCACTTTCCATAGCTGATGTTTCTCCTTGGACCACATCACAGAGTGGGCTGGTTCTTTCCCTCTGCCTCTCATCAGAGAGGCTGCTCTGACCACCAAACACAGAGCATCCCACTCTCCACTTACTTCATCATCGGATATTTCTTGTCTTCTTTATATTCATTGGCATACACGACACACACACACACACACACACACACACACACACACACACACACAAGCACACACTCTTGGCCTTGGGGCTTTGTGGATGTGTATTCAATGTGCAAGGGATTCTATTTCCACGAAGGTTTTGTTATCATGCATTTACTGATTTGACAATCAATCCTTGTTTCAAGCATGTCCTTGTGCTTCAGTGGGGGTTAAGTGACACCAGTGATGCCTATTATGCACCCAGAAAGCATGAAAGCCCGCCTACTCCTGCATTTCCTAACATTGCTAATGAGCTATCAAACACAAGCTTTGAAAGCTCTCTCTCTCAAAAAAAAGTGTATTTATGACAGTGGCATTGTTCCAAAGATATGTTTTTCAAAATGTGACAATTTTGTGAGTCACTGGTCACCCATGTGAACATCACTAATTCATTTCTGGTGGAGAATAATTACAAGGATATAAATTCTCGGAGTGATAAAAGACACCATTAAAGAGTCACCCACTGAGTTCTGACTTTACTCTGAAGGCAGAGGTTTATGTCATTCTCACTTTGTCCTTACCTCTCATCACAGGGCAGTGACTTCATCGACAAGGGAAGGTGTCTAGCCAAGTGAAAGGACACAAATATTGGGACTTCCTCATTAGCACTTAGCATGAAGTGACGTTTGACTGGCTTAGAAATACATGAAGGAGGGTGCAAAAACTAAAATGCCAATTAAATGTTTTGAAGCCGTTGAAGTAGATGAGTTCATCTGATACACTTACCATTTGGAAAGGCAGACCTGGGCCCTGGAGCATTTGAGAGTAAACAATAGAAGCTAGAGTACCTTCCCTCCAGTCTGTTTGTGGGCCTTGGGTAGACCAGTCTTCCTCCATCATGCCTAAACAGTTTTCCTCTTGCTGATTGACATGGTGGTCTTTTCTCTCCCTCTATTTTGCCAAGTTCTGTACAAGTATCCTCTAGGTGTAGTGGCTGGCCTCTTGGGGTATTCAATCTAGAAAACTTGCAGCTGTCAATTCTGTCTCTGACACTTTAAGAGGTAAATCTTGAATAACATAGAAATGTGTTTTCTCTAGGACCATGGGAGGGGGTATTTCTCTGAAATAGAGGCATAACCAATAAAGACAGAGCTGTCCTCTCCCTGCCTCTGTAGGAAAGTGGAGACTGAATTCCCTAAGTGACAGTAGTTGCTTTAAGTGACGTAAGCCAGGAATGACCCCACATACTCCATTAGCTTCTCCAGTACACTTCTGCCAGTTAGCCTCGGGATTAAAAAACCTACTCCTCATTTTTTCTGTTGAGTTCAAAGCTGCCTGTTTAACTCCAGCCAGTGTAAATTTTATTTTAGAAGTCACAATGCATTAAAAGTTTCTAAACACTGGGCAGAGGCTATTGCTCAGTGATAACTCTTGCCCCACAGGTATGACACTCTTGGTTCAGTCCTAACAAACAAACAAAAAAGTAAACAAAATATTTCAAACCTGTATGTGACTCCCTAGATAACATGTCTGATTGAAAACGAACGAGGGATATATAAAGTGGGCTATCTGCTATACTAATGCTGTTAATGAAGAGATAGATGATCCCCTGCTGTATGTAAATAGATGATGGATGGATGGATGGATGGATAGACAGATGATCCACCACTATGTAAATAAGATGATAGATATTTGTATGGATAGAGGATCCACCATTGTATGTAGATAGATGGATGGATAGATGATTGCACACTTCTAACTTTAAAAGATGCCTTTAAAGAGACTGAGAGTAGGGGCCAAAGCATAATATGGAGAAGTTGGTGTGGAAATGACCCTTCTAGACACAGAATTCTTAGGCTGTGTTTGTTCATTATATATGTGCCATGCTTTTTCATTTGTAAGGCAGGGATAATTATAGGATTTCTCTCTTAATTCTGTTCACGGGATTTGATAAGGCAGTTCATATATCTCAAGTGCTTGGGACAGATGCTGGTGATTAGAACAGGCTTCATCAATGTTAGATTGTGTCACCGACACCATTGTTATTAATGGGACTATCACAAAGCAGCAGAACGATTTTAAGTCGGTAATTTTCCATGTCTGTCCATAATTTCCAAGCAGTAAATGATGGTTTGGATAAGAACAACACAGAGAACTTCTAGATTTAAGAATCTCTGGGAGATTCTACTAAGGAGGTCATCCACACACCTGACCAAAGAGACATCCAGGGGGAAGAGGGATCTATCTAGAGGGGAAGAGCATCCATGAGTCAAGTTTATTTAGAGTCACGTGGTGTGAATGTGAAATGACCTGCACGTGTTCATTTAATTTTTTGAACACTGGTCCTCAACTGGCAGCACTGTTTTCCAAGCTGTGAAAACTTTAAACAAGTAGTTTTCAGCTTTCCTAGAACAGCAACCCTTTATTACAACCCCTCATGTTGTGGTGACCCCAGCCATAAAATTCTTTCTGGTACTACTTCATAAGTATAATTTTGCTCCTGTAATGAATCATATTGTAAACATCTGTGTTCTCTGATGACCTTAGGTGACCCCTGTGAGGCGGTCATTCAGTGTGACCCACAGTTTGAGAACCACTGTTTTAGAAGGTGGGGCCTCACGGGAGGGAACATGCCACTGTCTGGGTTTTGAGGATTTTATCGTCTGACCTTATGTCTGGTGCTATCTGCTCTGCTTCCTGGATATGGATATTATTAGGCAGCCTCCATCTGCTGCCATGCCCTCCCTGCCACAGTGGGTTCTAGTCCTCTGCAAAAGTGGCCCAGAATATTTTCATAGTATTTTGACACAGAAATTGAAAAGAAACTGATGTACACAGGGCAGTTTCAGATCATGAGCCCAGGGCTTAGATGAGCTTGGATTGAAGCCCAATTCCAACCGTTACCAATGTGGGAAAATTTACAAATATCATAATCTCTTCTCTTGTTGTGCTAGGGTTTCTGCAAAGTTTAAATGCATCCCCAACACATAGAAAGGAGAAAGGTAAGGAAGCTGAATCAACAGCTCTCCGCGCCATACATGGCCATGCGGTATGTCCCTCAGGTGGAGAATCCCTCATATCTAGGATTATTTCCTCTTGCTGTCTAAGCTGATCAAACCTCTCTGAAGTGTTAGGAAAGGCAAAACCATGACATCCAACACCAAGCCAGCTTGCTTCTAGAACAATATCCTTAGGCCTTTTCATCTTCAGACATGTTCAAAGTTGCTTACAAATTGCTCTCTGGTTTTGAAGGTCAAGCTGGCACAACAAGGAATTGAAAGAAAGAGCAGTGTGCCCTAAAGGGCAGTCTAGACCTACATTATATCATTGGGATCAACTGATCCGGAACTAGATTCAATTGATATTTGAAAAAAAAAAACATAAAAATTTCTCTCCCATATTCTGTTTCTCCCTCCCACCTTCACATTCTTTCTCCTTTTCCAGAGAGTATATTCTTCATCTAGCTTTAAAATCTTGTTTTTTAACTTTAATTTCCCATGATACATATGTACTACTTTCATATTATTAATGAAAATTTGCATCTCTAATCTCTGCTGGTAACACTTAGTTCATATCCCACTGATGATTATAGAGAGAAAATATTACCAAAGTGGGATCAATCTGTAAAAACTATTTTTAATCTCTCATTTTGAAGCAATAATCCTACCTTTTCATTTCAGTAAATTTTTATCTCATATAATACCTTGAATATATCAGTTTCCCCAGCTGATCAAAAAACCTGTATCATAGGTCTCTTTCTCCAACTGCTATCCAGTCCATGCCTGGCCTCTGATGTTTCTGTTGCTTTGTCTAGTAGAGGGCTTGTTGTTGTTGTCGTTGATGTCATAGCTTTTCTTTTTTGTTGTAACAATTACAGATTCTTGGCAGGAGTTTAAAAGTATTGCATAATGGAAAGGTTTTCTTAAAATGGAATTTAAAAACAAAATCTCTCTTAATTAGCCATTTCCTAACAAGTGGTTTTAGCCACTCAAACACCAGGGGAAAAATTCTAGTTAGTCTTACTCACCATGAGGTTGTCTATCCTACCAAACATATGGAGCTAAGAATCTCCCTGCATGCACCTGAAACTTCGAGCATACATGACCACGGCTCATCTAGCGAAGGACATTCTCTAAGACTACCCTAGCTCTTTCTGGAGTACTGTCATCCTTAGTTTAGGGGTAGCAACATGGGGCCAATCATATCTGACTATGAGGACAGAGGTTCATCAGCAAAGGTGGGCACTCACCATACACTGCGATGGTCTTTGTGTCTTGCAGGATGGCATTCCCAGCTGAGACCTGTACTGTGATGGTATTCATTCCCTCAGAAGTAAACTTGAAGGATATGCTCCCCTCCAAGGTGATCAAGGGCTGAAATAAAGAAGGACATTGAATGAAGGAAGAGTCTGAACTTTAGTTGAAAGTGCCCTGTCTACTGTCACCCCATGTGCTGAATGGAAACAGGCTCATCCCGGTCGGTCCTTCATCCTATGCTCCTCCATCAGCTGAAGTTCAGGGAAAGGCTAACACAGAGGTGACCTTCAGCGATTCTGCATCTCTCCTAGAAAGCAACACCTGTCTCCCTGTGTCATCTTGAGTCAGCACTGGGGAAATCAATAAGTCTGATGGGCCTTGCCCATTGGCAGGATACATGTGTCTCTGCTTGCATCATTGCCTACTGAGCAGAACTTTTAATCCAATGAACCACCTGGCTAAATGAAGACCAGAAGGCTCAAATGTATTAACAAGCAGTGAGAATTTCTATGCTTTCTGGAATTCATCTTCAAGATAGACTATTTATAGAGCATAATATTGTCCCAGGAACAGAAGTGAGCTCTCGTTAGAGAGGAGTGACCTGTGACATCATCCTGTTAGCAGCAGTATCACCAATTTCCTGGAAGTTCTTGCTAGGAAAACCAGCACTAAATGGATAACGGTTTCAGAATTCTAAAGCAAAAATGTGTTGGAAGACTGGTGCAATAATATAATCAGATAATCTGTCCGAAAAAGAAAAAAAAATAATGGTTTACTGACCTCCCTTAATTGATTTCCTCACAAATACTCCTTTTCTTTCTTTCTTGATCAGTTTAAAAATTCGCAATAGGGAAAGCACTAACACCCTGAGGGATCTCATCTACAGTCTTTCCAAACTTTGGTGTTACTTTTATTCCCCTTTTTTAATTTAAAGTTGAACCAGGTTGTTTTACTTGTCAATCCCAGTTCCCTCGCCCTTCCATCCTCCCCTATCACCCCCACCAAACTCCAGCCCATCCTATTTCTGCTCCCCAGGGAGGATGAGGCCTTCCATGGGGAGTCTTCCAAGTCTGTCATATCATTTGGAGCAGAGCCTAGGCCCTCCGTCATGTGCCTAGGCTGAGAGAGTATCCCTCTATGTGGAATGGGCTCCCAAATTCCATTTGTATACTAGGGATAAATACTGATCCATTACTAGAGGCCCCATAGACGGCCCAGTCCTTGTAACTAACAGCCACATTCGGGGGGGGGGGTTGGGTCAGTTGGTTTCCTAGCTATCAGACAGGTTGATGAGTTCCCCTTATTCAGGTCAGATGGTTTTATTATTTAAGGTGGAAAAAAACCAGAAAAACTTTGTTTAGTTCTTCTTCTTTTTCTTCTCCTTATTCTTCATTTCTTTCGAGTGATGATTTTCAGATAAATAGCAACCTCAATCTGACATCTCAGCTAGGAGTTGTATCATGGAATGTTCACCTAGAGGACCAAACTGGAGAAGAAAGTAGAGATGGGGGGAGCTAGAGAGAGATGGAGGCGGGGGAATGGTGTTAACCTGATGAGGGTTTGGAGTTCAGATGGCCTGCTGTCCTTGAAGCTCAGGCTGTGCTCTTACTGGAAACCATCAGCCATCTTATTCTGTTTGGCTCCAGCAAGCGTAAGTCGCACCTCTATCACTGGTCACCGGGTCAACTCACCTCTGTGTTGTTTCCGTACCACCACACGTAAGTGAGGGTACCCACTTGGCTGGGCCAGAGCACCGCAGTTGCATTGACCTCTTTGTTCTTTGTTGTGACAAAAGGGAGGGACAGGTGCACATGTTCCAGAGGACCTGCGACACAGAGAAAGAGGGGCCATGGAGAGGGCTCGGCTTCTTCAGCTCTGCATCCTCTGCTCTGAGAGGACACCCCTTCATCTTGGAAGCCCCCAAACATTGCAGCCATGTTCTCCAAGCAGAGCGCTTGCTGCTTTCTCCACTCAGAGAAAATTTCACATACTACGACTCAATTTACTGATTGATCTACCGGGTCTAAGGTATGTATGTAGGAAAGGCAAAAGTCATGTAACTTATGAAGTCCAAACGTCAACAGCTAAAGTATAAGATTTCACAAAGAGACCCAAAGTCTCCCCACAAGGCTCTGTTCTCACAGATAAACAGGATCCGGGGTCTCTGGAAGAGCTGTTGGGGCAACGACACACAAAGCCATAAACTCCTGTTTTAATGATTATTCTTAGACTTTAAGGTGTTAAAGAAAGGGTGTGTACAAATGGGGTTCTTTCTACACCTGAGACAAAAGCTATCTGCTTAGGCTAGCAAACAACACACTGGCATTTGGGGTTGAGGTAGGCTTGCCTAGAACTAGGCTGCATACAAATGGAAAGTGAATTCCATGTAAACAGGCTCCATGCATCAGACAACACACTTCCCTCCTGTGTTCACTTATTATATAGCTCTTGGGCTCCCTTAACTACATAGTTTTCTCCCAGCACGATGTGCGTTGGTTTCCCCAGGATCATTTGTTTACAGAGCTCTCTGGGATGCTGCTGACCCTCATACCAAGCTGACCTTCCTCTTTGACACCCTGAGTTACCTGCTCTGAGGCAAAGGAATCAGAAAAAAATGGAGCTGGTGAGGCCGCTCAATCAGTACAGTTGCTTGTTATGCCAGCCTAGTGACAAGTTAGGTTCCCTAAAACCTGTGTAAAGGTGGCAAGGGAAAGACAGCACATAGCTGTCCTCTGACCTCTACGCGTACGCTGTGATGTGCACATTCCCATCTCACCTTGCACAATCACACGCAGACACACATATGCACACAAACACATACAGAGCGAGAGCAATAGAGAGAAAGAGAAAGAATAAATTAATTTAAAAGGAAAATAAGGACTAGGCAATCTATTCCAGAAACCCCAGGTTCATCCAGTAGAAATTCATTTTCTCTGTCATAGATGAGCATTCAGTTTTGTTGCCGGTTTTGTTTTCCAGTCAGAACATGAGGGTGAGGACGATGTGTAGATTTCACTGCGGCAATAAATCAGTACTCAACTGTGTGACCAAGAACTCATTCAATAGATCTGAGTGCCACTGGGTACTGGGTGTGGTTTTGGGTGCTAGGAACAAAGGGCACTTGGAGCTCGGTAGTATGCAGGAATATCCAAGGCAGAGTCGGGAAGAAGGGGGCTGCTCTTAATGGAGTGTTCATGGAGAGCTCCTCAGAAATGGCATCAGGCAGCAATGAATAGAGAAGGATCATACCGAGAATCTATTTGGAATGTTCCAGAATGAGAATGGAGTCAGTGGGAATGTCCTGAGAAGGCCTGCCTGCTACACTAGCTAGAGAGTGTAAAGACGGTGAACCAGAAAGCAGCTAAGGACACCCAAGAGGTTCTGAGGACCCAATGCGCCTGAATTTGTAGGCCAGAAAGTAGAAGCACATGAGTTTTGCAGCTCTATCCATAAGCATGCGTGCATGAGTGGGTGTGTACCTGCATGCATGCATGCTTGCATGCATGTGTGTGCCTGGATACAGGTATGAAATTCATACTGCAACTTTTTAATGGCCTCTTGCATTGTATTACAACACTAAAAGTGTAAAACGCCTGGTATTTGTTACTGATGAACCTATAAGAGTGTGCCACGAAGAGAAAGGGAAACTCCTGGCTCTGAGGATCCCTGGCTATGTGCTGAACAAGCAGGCCCAGTTGTATCATACAGGTGCTCGTGATACAAAAAACTGACAGCAGGTGGCGCTGCATCATTTCAGATTATCGAAAAACTAGAGCTTTTGTTGAGTGTACTGGATTTTCCTTCTTTTGATTAGACTTTCTAGAATGCATGAAAGAGCTGATGTCTGTGAAAACGAACAGTGCATGTGCGTGTGTTTGTGTGTTTAATGGCTACATCTTAGACTTATGTTCTAAAGATATGAGAGTTTGCATATATCTAATTAAATCTTGCAAATGTACCATACTGCTATTTGTTTAAACAGATAAAAAAGGAAAACTCCACTAGACGTAAACACTATCCAAACTATAACGAGAATATTTTTAAAGCAGAACTCCTTAGACCTCAGTATACACAGGAATTGTGCATGTATTTTTGAAGGATGTTATATTTCTAAATATAATGATTTACTAGATCTGAGCTAGAACCCAGATCACTAAATTTATATCATTTAAATTCTGGGGCAGGTGACCTACTAAACCATACTTTACATGTTTGTACTCTGCCATTTCCAGGCCAGCATAACCATGGTGTCAATAGTTGCAATTCTAATGACTTTTCAAGTCACACCAGTCCGAGCATGGCATCATAGGCTTGTTGCTCCTGTGTGGAGTGAAGGATGTGATCTAGGATGGAATAAATTTTATTTCTTGTTCTATTGTTTACTTTTCATTCTCTAGATGTGTAGTCACCCCATTCCCTCAACCCCTGAGAGATGGCCACGATGAGGCAGTTTTCTGAGCTGAAATCCTCATGCCCTCTAAATTTTCGGCCCCATCCTGCAGAAGGCCTGAAAGTCTGCATCACGTGTCTCATTAGTTTGCAAAATAGCAGAGCACAGTGAATACTATCCCCAAGGAGTTTCCAACTGTCAGGCTTCAATAGATTACCCTGGCATCCTGCAAGAGCCGCATGCTCTCTCCTGGATAACTACAGCAAAAACATCAGCTCCATTTATTTCTGATGACCTTTGCAAACACACATTGAAAACCCTTTGATTTGGAATCACATCACATTTCTGTTCTGGTGAGTGGGGTATGTGAGTGTATTCAAACAACCACTGTGATCCCTGGGAGAGCCAGGGGAGGAAGGGGAAGTGGAGAAAGGAGAGGTGTGACAGCTAAGAACTCATAGCCTACTAAGCACAAATACATCTGCTACTAGGTGGTGAGGGGAAAATCAAATCTTATAAGTGGCACAATGCCATATATTTTTGCTTGGCAGAATCTCCAGGTACAACATGTGCATCATTTGATGGAGGAAAAGAATTTAGGCTTAGAGAGAAAGAGTGACTCACCCAACCAGGGATCTGTCCTTAGTCAATGAGTTGGCTACACTGATTGTCAACTCAACAGGATCAACAATCATCCAAGGTTCAAAACTACCTAAATACTACCAAGTACCAGGAACTCATCAACTAAAATAACAATCAGTGCCAAGCAACACCCAAAACTTATAGTCTATGAGGGAACTTTGGATTGGGATAATTGAGGTAGAAAGACCCAACTTGAGTGTGCAAAGCACCATTCCATGGGCTCAGGCCAAGCACTAGGTTCATTGCACTCTGCTTCCTGGCCATGGATGCAATGTGACCAGCAGCTGTGTCATACTCTTGATCTCAATAGTGCCCTGCACCTTCCAGACTGATCTAAAATACGTTTATATCATTTTGTCACAGCACCTAGAGAGGGAACTAATATAACCCAAAAGTGGTTACCCAGGGCCTTTGTGTTTCGTGTACAATGCCAGCCCATCCTTTACCTATATATCCTGGATTTCTGGCACGCAGAACCAGTCGCAACACCCTGGGTGCTTAAAATGCTTATGGCATGACTCTTAGTGTAAAATAATACTGAACTCCAATTTTCCGGTCACTTTTTGCTGCATCTGAGAGACGGGTTTCTGTCATCTACGCCATCTTTTCCAGTATATATGAAAAGATGGGTAAAGTGAGCTTACATGCACGAAACAGAACATGGGTTCTTTAGCGGCGAGGCTTGAGAACCCTGTGGAGATGAGACTGATAGACTGGGACTTAAATGCATCCAAGCTAACTATTTAAAACACAGCTTACTTCAATACAATTAGTATAAAGTAGTTAATCCCCATCCTATCCGCCAATGCCAGGATTAGAAAGTGGCACACTTATAAGGAATGCTTACTCAACCATTCAAGCAACACAAGTCTAAAGAATCCTCATTCTAGTATAATTGTCTCCCATGAAGGTTCAGAAAATATTTTATCCTAGTAACTATTCTAATAAAATAAGAAAAAATGCATTTACACAAAAATCTTTCTTTTAAAAGTAAAGGTTTTAGCGATCCCTAATTTCTTGGATAGCGGTGAAGTCTACATTCCTCTTCAGGATTTGGTCAACCTTGGGTCCTGGGGAGAGATGGTGAGAAACATTGTGAACAGGAATGGGTGATGGGATGAGGAAGCATCCACAAAGTCTGAGAAGGTTGAGTCACAAGACTAGATGGGAAATCCCTGGAAATGTGGATGAGAACCTGTGACTGAATCTTAAAGTCATGCTGACAGTTGGGATAGAAGTTGTGAAATTTGTCAGGCACTGAATACAGTTGCAGTTGCTAGGGAAGACAGCCTTCCAGCAAAAATCACAGCCTCACTATGAGAAGGGGTAAGATGAGATATACAGCCATTCTCAGCAAATATACTGATTTAACTGGCAAACTGTTTTGTTACTGATATTGGTTGTGGTACATTTTTGAAGATTTTAAGAATATTCCAAGCCTGTCATCACTTCTGTTCCCATAACCACAGTAGGTACATTATATTGCGTCTTAAGCTATACTAGAATCTTAAGATCCTATAGGCAGTAGAAGGGATAGGGTTCTATATAATATGGCATGAACTTAAACTCCTACTGTGTCTGGAGACATGTGGAAGGAGAGGATTGCCAGTGGGGGGGGGGCTATCCAAGCCAACTTCCTCACTGTCACTCACTTTAGGGATCAGGATCTGAGACAAGCACACGTGACTATAGAGCACGGCAGCATTGGGCATGAGTCGGACTCCTTAAATAATTTACTTTAGCTCTGTGAGCCTTAGCAAAGTGCAGGTTCTAACAATGCCTACCTCATGGGTGCTTTTCAGAACTGAGATTGTGTACACAAAGAGTGTGAATAGTGCAAAGTCTGACTGGAATACACAGCAGAATCTTAGTAAAACTATAACAAAAAAGATGAAGACAGTAAGCAAAAGGAATCAGGTCTAACTGTGTTCAGAACCAGAGAAGGGAATGCAAACTCACGACTGCAAAAGATGCACAGACAAGTCATCGTCAGTCACACAGTCTGCTGGCCATCCCTAAAGAAGCCCACCCTTTCCCTGGACTACTACAGAAAGATGTTCTTGTTGGCACTTTCTACATTCAGTTTCATTCTATGGGGCAGGTGCAGGGGAGAGGCATGAAGTAATTTTCATCCTTAACACTTTGGTCCTTGAACTTGAAATATGAACAAAGCCATTTATACAAAACAGCATATACCATTTTAACATAAAGTATTTTGTAATAATAATGCAAGTCCTAGAACCATTGTGGGGAACTTCACATCTACAAATTCTTAAGTTACCATCTTACTTGATTTGGTTAAAAGTTATTATTTTACCTTGTGACTCAAGCTGTTAAATTCTTTATTGGGGAGGACATTTGGGATTCTTGAATCTGATTCCTAATGTAGTGAATGCTTTGTTTACATTATATAATCTTTCTTCTATGTTCATTTTTTTTCCCAAATAAAAGGTCACTTACGGATCAAAACCTAGGAACCACATTTTTTTAATGGAGACAAAGACTAATGGGATCATCCCTGGTAAGGTGGCCCTGATGTTATGGACAAGCAATTCTTTTCCTGCAGTGATGGAGCTGGCATTTTCATTGCTTTCAACCATTCCTGACTTAAAAAAGGAAACATAGGTTTCAAGCAAGTGCTTAATCACCTATTAAAGTCAGATTATATATCTCCTAGGGCCCTGGAAGAAGTATAGGAGGTGAACTGAGATCAAATTCGCTTTATTCTGAGTCTAAGAATATATCTATCACATCTTTTGATATTCTTCTTTCTGTCTGTCCTCTTACTTCCAATTTCCCTTCCTAAAAGTTATCTACTATACTTCCTCCAGACACAACAGTGTACATTGGAATTTTAAAAGGGCACAATATTCAAGATATGGCGTAAGTCAACAACAGTAATAACATACAAGTTACATGTAAGTACAGGACGGCGCTGTCAGACCCCAGACTGTTGTCCACCTGCACCGTCACTCGGAAAATGCCCACATTCTGATAGACATGCTTGATCCCATCTTCCATGGAGCTGAGGTTGACATAAGACACCGCAATGCCATCTCCAAAGTCCACCTGGATGAGTGTCCGCTGCACATCACCCTACCAAAAAAACAAAAAAAAGGTAGTTTTAAATGGAGAAGTTAGTGCTTGGCTGATCTTGCTTTGGGCGCTGAGGCTCACTTGCAATCTTCCTCTAGTTGAGAGTATCTGTCTGGTATAATAGCATCTCTGCAACAACTAAATAGTTTGCTTACAATACTCTCCAAGGCAAAGAGGCACTAACAAATTTTCAAAGCTTAGAATAATAAGTATTTGATTACCAATTTCTGTAACGAGTATGGGTTTTCTGCCTGCCGCCGCCCGGTCTTGTCCTGCTGCCGTGCCAGCCCCAAATAATACACAGAGACTCTGTATTTGATACAATACTGTTGGCCTGGTTACTTGTTTCTTATCGGCTAGCTCTGCCTTTAATTATTAACCCATTTCTGCTGATCTATGTATTTCTCTTACCAGGGAGCCGGCGGCATACTGCTTTCTCCAGACTCTCCATCTTGGCTCCTCCTTACTACTTCCTATTTCCTCCTTGTCTCCTAGTCCCTCCTATCTTCCTTTCCTATTGGCCAACAGTGCTTTATTATTAACCAGTATGAGAAACATATATACATAATGGCATCTCCCATCAAATTTCAGTTAACCATAATATTGTTAATTGGTAAGTTTTATTAATGGTCTTATCTGGCATGGTCAAAGACCACTTCCTAGGCCTTCCAGAACCATGAATTGTCTTCTTTATTTCCAGTTCTTTAGACAAGATGGATAAAGAATGAAAACTATCTTGCTATGACATAACACTTAGAATTGTTTGTGATAATGATAATTATTCTTTTTTTTGCTTGCTTTTATTGAAAATACATTGTTATCTCAGGATGTTGCTCTATCAAAGCATTTTTGTAAAATATTAGCCTGGAGAGAAAAGTAGGCAATGTTTATTATCCTCATAGATGAACGTGAAGTCTAGAAAGGTTGCATTATTTACTGGAGGTTAACTCAGCTAGGAAGCTACAGTTCTGAGATCATAAACAATTGTTTCTGGATTTCCCATTTATTTTTATAGATGAGAGTTAGACTTATGACTAAAACAGGTCTCACTCAGCCTTGAATCATAGTCACCATTAACAAGTTATAGGGCTTCATATAAATAATTTAGCTTCTCTTTGTGTTAGTTATTAAACCTAGAAAATGGGCATAACAACACTTTTCTATCTTAACTCAATGGGTTGCTATAAAAGCCATATAAGTAGTAGGTTATATGGTAATATGCAAGAGTAAACAACTGCTGAGTAAATATGAAAATGAGGCTGTTAAAGGCACGACATTTTTTCAAATCTACTTTAATCTATTGTTCTAAATATCTCCTGTATCATCAGGAGAAGAGGTCTGCATTTACAAAGTCCTGTTAAAAGAAAGGACCGGTGGAATGACGCTGAAGACTTTCAAACAACAATGTTGCTTACATTCAACTGGTAAGATCAAGCTTCCTTCCTTAAACACCTTCTTATTTGATAGCCTTCCACAGTTTCAGGCAAACAACAAAACAGAAACCTTTGAACTAGAAATGTATTTTTGATTAAGTAAGGTTTATGTGGTATCATATCTTTTGAAAAGGCCGACTTTAAAACTCTGACATTTAAAGGATTAATACACAGAAAAAGGTAAAGCAGTTCAAACCCTACGAGTATCTGCGACCTACAGATTCAATCTCTGCCCAGTTGCACAGTGTGGCATGCACAGTGGCCAATGCTCAGGCAGAGGGAGCAGAGCTTTGAGTGACATCACAGATTGAAATCTTTCCCTGGGAGAAATAACAAAAGCAAAAACAAAAACAAATCTCCTCTACTTAAGCTACTACAATATCTGCAAGCTGGCAAATTGTGTGATCACTTGAATTCACTTATCTCATAAATGCAAATGCCAGCAATCTTGTTAATATGTCTCAAGGGGATTGATAAATCTTTTCCTTCTATTCCTGGTACAGTTCCATGTTTTCTCAGGTTACAGAAGTCAACCACAGGCATGAATGAAAGGAGTCCAGACTTTAAAACAAGTGTCTGGGTAAACATTAGAGGTAAGTATAGTTGTTTGTGCTTAAGATGAGCAACAGAAATTCCACTGGAGAGTGAGGGACAAGTATGAGGCAGGATTACAGAGTAGGAATCAAGCAGGGTCCATGTTTGTAGGACAACATGGAGAGAGTGAATCTTCAGCCAGCTCTACTTTAGACTCTGCTAAGAGGGGGCAGTCACCACAGAACTCAGAAGAGTAAGATTTTAGCTGCTGCTACTTGGTTGTACAATTCTTTGACCTTCTGGTCTAGTATTACTCACTTTATGTAGATCGTGACACTTCCAAAAGACTTTCCTCAAGGGACTGAGGAGAGGGCTCATAGGCAAAGTTCTTTCCATGGATGCATGAGGACTTGAGTTTGCATCCCTTGCATGTAAAAGCCAGACACTGCAATATATATCCTAAACGTCAGCACTGGAGGATGGGAGTCAAGGGAATCTCAGAGCTTCTGGAAAATTCTACTTCATCAGCTGGCCATGAGACTCTGTCTCAAATAGTAAAGTAGAAAGCCAGGGAGGATACCTTCTATCTCGACAAACACACACACACACACACATGCACGCACGCAAGACTCTCACTTACTTGCTGTGTTTGTCGATTTGTCATGATGCTCTGCTCATGATAATGTTCTCCCTGTGTATGAAATGAGTCACTCAATGGTCATACTAGTACATTAGTAATAAGGGCCATCATTCTATTACTGAGAACTCTGAAGGCAATGACATGGCATATCACAGTTAAACAAGACGTTTTGAGGACTCTGGGTGTAGTAGCAGGTCTTTTTTGCCTAAATCCTGTATTAGGAGATGAGAATGTCTATGTGCTATGTCTTACTGTTAAAGGCTATAGATAAAATCACTGCAGACACAACTTTGCCTATTCGGTGGAAAGAAGTGAGTCCTAAGCTTTGAACACCATCTGGAGCATGAACTGAAAAGTATCCTACTATGCTGTTGGGAAGCCAGCAAGGGACATTCCAGAGTACACAGTGGTGGATAGGAAAGAACTTCACATGAACATCTGTTTGTTTCTAAAAATTAACTCTGGTATTGCTGGTAGTGATGTTCCCCTTAACGAAGAACCCAACTACTCTCCAAGACTCAGGTGCTTCGGGATCTCTCAGAAGGAGGATGGTCAGTCTTGCTGTAGTCCAAGATTATTCACAGGTTATGAACAGCCAGGTCCCACCCTCCAGAGTTCTCTGACAGCCATAATGGCCACTTCCTGCCACCCACCCTGTTAAGGTGAGAGTGGCCAAGACCTACTCTTCAGAAAAATATTCCACGAATCCCTGAGTTCGCCCCAAGATCAGGCCTTTTAATCTTTCCAATCCCAGGCTACCCCAGAAACATCAGACTCCCCCAACAAGAAATTGTATATAAACCCCATTTTCTGCTCAGTTCTCCGCTGCTTCTTGTCCAAGGAAATGCAGCTACCCTCCTTGGTTTTCTTCTCCCCATAGCTCTTGTGTGAGGTCTGTTGTGTGGTATGACTTTGTGGTATTCCTTTTCTTTGACTGACTACCTAGCTATCTTCCCTTTCTGATCTGTAAGGCTTATTTATCTGTGGCCCTTCATCTAGGGGTAGGAACTTGCGGAATTTCTACCCTCTATTCAAGAATGTCAGTGTGTTCATTAGTGCAAGTCTTATTCAGGCAACTATATTGTTGAGAATTTATAGATCCATTGTCTTTTCTTATATATTGTCTTATTTGGCAATTAATACTTGTGGGATAGAGAGAGGGACATGTGATTTCTATAGGAAACAATGAATGAAAACTGAGGCATGTTCAATAAGATGTTTAATGTCATCAGGCTAGTTAGAGGGCATAAGATGTTTTAAAACTGTCTGTAGTTTGACTTGTCTATCTAATTCAGTCTTCTGTTAGACTGAGAGAAAAGTAGTATCAAAGATAAAACACTATCGTTTCTCCTTTCAATCCTTTCATAGCTTTGACCATAGATCACCCTATCCTGGGAAGGGGAAGTAGAGGGAATCTCCTTGGTAAATGGGGAGTGAGGGGAGGTAAGGGGGAGGTGATGGGGTATTAAAGCATGAGGGACTGGATGGTCAAGGGTTGGTGAGGAATGGAGTTGGAGAGCAATGAAAGAGATGCCTCGATACGGGGAGAAACCTGGCACTAGGGAAATTCCCAAGAATTCACAAGGATGACTCCAGATAAGACTCTCAGCAATAGTGGAGAGGATGCATGAACTGGCCTTCCCCTGTAATAGGATCACTGAGTACCCTATCCTCACAGAGCCTTCATCCAGTAACTGATGGAAGCAGGTGCAGAGATTCACTTTCTCCTTTGTCAACATACTTATTTAAGTGAAGACATTTTGGTGTGAATTCCAGACTCCATACTTTCTCTCTGTTGTCTTGTGAAGTAATACCATGTTTAAAGGAAGGGAAAGGCTACAAGAGGCAAGTAGTATTCATAATCAGTATCCAGAGAAATCGTGTGTGTAATTTAGAGTTACTCCAACTCAATAAATCAGAAGTCATTCTTTCTGCAACTGTAAGTGGACCAAGATCAGCCAACATCTGTATTCTCAAATCAATTCCTCACCTACATTGCCCTTTAGTCATCTCTACATATGAGCATAGTCACAGAACAGATACAAGCTCAAAAGAAATGCCCGAGAAAGGCACAACAGCCACCAGGAACAATAGGGGAACACTCCTAGTGCTGTGGCAGAAAAATTCTTCTAGTGGCCACAGAGACAAGGTTAACCTGAGCAAATGAACAGCATGTGAACCTATCAGTCCTGTAACTCAGGCTCAGGGAAGAATGGGAAAATAACTGCTTGTGAGACTTAGCCCTGACAGACTCTGTCCTGCAGTGAAACAGTGACACGCCCCTGGAATCATCAGAGGTTCAGTGCACACTGTGTGTTAGAGTCTGTGTTAAGAGTCGGGTCCACAGAGAGGCTGGCCAGGGCTCTGCTCAGACTGTACAGCCTTGGGCTGCA